GCTTTTCCATCGGACCTTCCTGTCCAGGTAGAACGTTCCAACTTGGAACCTGACCTGACTTCCACCAGAGGACCATGGAGCAGAAAAGAACCGAGGAGAACATAATAATAATAATAATAATAATAATAATAATAATAATAATAATAATAATAATAATAATAATAATAATAATAATAATAATAATAATAATAATAATAATGATAAAGTTGGAAGGGACCTTGGAGGTCATCGAGTCCAACCCCCTGCTCAGGCAGGAAACCCTACACCATTTCGGACAAATGGCTGTTCAGTCTCTTAAAAACTTCCAGTGTTGGAGCATTCACAGCTTCTAGAGGCAGGTTGTTCCACTGGTTAATTGTTCTCACTGTCAGGAAGTTTCTCCTTAGTTCTAGGTTGCTTCTCTCCTTGGTTAGTTTCCACCCGTTGCTTCTCATCCTGCCTTCAGGCGCCTTGGAGAATAGCTTGACTCCCTCTTCTTTGGGGCAGCCCCTGAGAGATTAGAACACTGCTATCATGTCCCCCCTCGTCCTTCTCTTTGTTAAACTAGACATCCCCAATTCCAGCAACCGTTCCTCATATGTTTTAGCCTCCAGTCCCCTAATCATCTTTGTTGCTCTTCTCTGTACTCTTTCTAGAGTCTCAGCATGTTCTCCTTGCTCTCTGAAGTAACCCCAAACTTCTCCTCCGCGGATTCAATCTTGTCTGAATTATCCAAGCCAACTTTTGCTTTCCACGCCCACCCGCTCTAGGAAAGAGGAGAACTTTGCAAGACGGGCTGTTTCCTTTGCCCCCCCCCCCCAAGGTCTTCGTGAATCTTGCTTCAAAATCCGCTGAAGCAATGTTGGAACCTGTCCCTACTATATATATATATATGATGAAGCCGGGAGGACCCGGCGAAAGCTCGGCGTTTTATATTTATTAAACCTTTTTATGGTTTCATAATTCTCCTGGTGGGCTCACTTTTTTTAAGTGCTATCAGTCATATATATATATATATATATATATATATATATATATATATATATATATATATATATATATATATATACATACACACACACATACATATTTTCCTTCGACCCACCCTCTTAGCCATTGTGAATTCTAGCTGGCTTAGGTGTGCTTTCTCAGCATAGGTATATCCCCGGTGTTTCAGCTGGCTAAGAAAAGGTCGCCGCAACCTGCACGCGCGCTGCATGGGTTGTTAAGAGGAGGGCCGCTTGTTGCTTGTCGGGTGAAAAAAAATTACTAGCTCTGTGATTTCAGATCAAAGGAAAACAACAGGCCTTCCTGGGGAATTGCTTCGTGCAACACGTGCAGATCAAGCGAGGAGACGCTCCTTAGCAACCTAAGCCCAATCTCCGGTTGAAAGTTCCTTCTTGACTTCAAGAAGGCCAAGGCGGTCTCCCAAACTGGGCTAGCTAAGAGAAACGGGCCATCTCTCAGCTGCCTCCCCTGCTCCAAAGGCAGAGAGGCAGAAAGAGAAGCAAAGGGATGGGGGGTATGTGTTTCTCTTTGCACCCAATGAAAGAACTCTCTGGATTTAAAATGGGTGTCAAAGGAAGGGTGAATCTCTGTGAAATGCTTAAGGGCATTAATATATAAATATATATATANAAAAAAATCTATTTTCCAAAGCACCAGAAGGGCATGACAAAAAGCAATGGACGAAAACTAACCAAGGAGAAAAGCAACCCTAGATCTAAAGAGAAATTTCCTGACAGTGAGAACAATCAATCAGTGGAACGACCTGCCTCCAGAAGTTGTGGATGCTCCCATCACTGGAGGTTTTTAAGAAGAGATTAGACAACCATTTGTTTGAAATGTTGCAGGGTTTCCTGCTGGAGCAGAGGGTTGGACTAGAAGGCCTCCAAGGTGCCCGTCCAACTCGGTTATTCCGCTGTGTTCTGAATATCAGACAGTTGTCTGGGTTATCTTGACCTCACATGCTCGAAAAAGCAAACTTGGTGTTGATGAGAATCCAATAAAACTCAGAAGAGGCCTCAGGCAAATTCAGAAGGGTACAACTAAACCAGAACTGGGGTAACAAATGGATTGACAAAAATTCAGCATGTGGGAATGGAGGAGGGGTAACCCTAACCCTAACCCTTTAAATATGGGTGTTTTGAGCTTGCAGGAGCAGCCATACACACACAGGCCCATGGAACAGATGCCTCTATGAGAACAATTCCCACAACCAAAGTGGTCAATGGGGGCGGAGACCCCTCACTGTCCTGTGTGGGAACTCACCCATGCACCCCCTTTATAAAAAAAAAACCCCTCCTTTTCTTGCAAACCAAAGCAGAAAAGCTGTCCAAAGTGGTTTTACTCTAGTCTAGAGGGTCTTCAAAGCAGCTCAGGGACTGGAGAAGAGATGGAGAGACAGACACTCACCTCCCTTTTCACAGAGGCCTCTCGCAATCTTTACTGCTCCCCAAAAGGGATGCTTTGGGGGAAAAACCCCCCTCTCAGCTATCCTACTACTGCTTGCTAGGAAGAGCAGGGTCCCCTCGGGCCGGGCCAAGCGTGCCGACAGACACGCCCATCCCCAAGGCTGGAGGACCTCCTGTCCGGAACCCAGGATTCTCCAGCTTCTCCTGGAGCTCCCCACCACCACCCTGCCTTTTCCACATCCACACCTGTCCCACCGGGGATGGAGAAGGATGCCTGGGATGACAAGCGGTGGGGTGGGAGAGGGGAGGAGAAACCCAAGCCCCCCAGCCCCCCACTCACCCGCCCCGCCCGTCCCCCCTCCCGCAAGGATATGGCCACTCCGTGATGCGCTTGGCGTATTTGCGGATCGCGTTGTCCTCGCTAAAGATGAAGAGCGACCGGTTGACTGTAAAGCAGTCCTGCTTGACCGGAATGGGGTTGTAAAGAGCCATGGTCCGGGCGCGCTGGGCCTTGGTCTGCTTGTATACCCGCGGGCCCGGCTGGCCGGGGGGCCCCCCTTGGCGGCTGCCCCCGCGGGCCCCGCCGGGCCCGGGGGCGGCCCCCGCGCCGCCACCTCCATAGCGGCTGGGCAGGTCCTCTCCGAAGCGTGCCATGCTGGTGCCCCTTCTCCAAGCGCGCGGTGCTGGCCCTCGGCGCTGCGAAGGGGAAGACGCATCCCAGCGCCAGGAGGGAGGGAGGAAGCCGGGGCTTCTGGTGGGGCTGGAGGCGGCGGTGGTGGTGGCGGCGGCGGCGGTGGGGCTCTGCTGCTGTGGCTGCTGCTGGTGGGGAAGACGGACGGGCGGGCGGGCTGCGGCTCGGCTCTGGAAGCGAGGAGGATGCAAGGCGCCGCCGCCGCCGCCGCGCTCAGGGGCGAGGCTCGGCGAGGCCGCTGCGCGCCCCAGGCGGAGGCGAGGCCGGGGTGTCCCAGCTCCGGCTGGAAGCCGAGGCGATCCGCATCAGCTCGCCCCCCGGGAGCCCCCTTCCCTCCACCCCAGCATGGCGCGGGCGCGCAGAAGGCAGCCCGGAGCTGGGGGGCGAGGCGCAGAGCTTGGCGAAGGGAGATCCAAAAGGGGCTGGGAGCTACTTAGCTTGCGTGGGCCTCTCTCCTCCTCCTCTTCCTCCTCCTCTTCTTCTTCTTCTTCTTCTTCCTCCTTCTCCCTCTTTCCCGGCTCGGAGGATCGGTGGATGCTCTTCTCTCCTCCGCTTCCCGGGGCTTTTCTTTCCTGGCGCGGCTCGAGTGGCGGAGGGGGTCGCCGGCAGGCTTGGAGAGCGCGGAATGGAAACCGTCAAGAGCAACCGGTTAGTGAACCTCGCCCCTCTTAAAAAAAAAAAAAAAAAGGAAGAAGGAGAAGGAAGGAAGGGGAAAAAAAAAAAAAAAAAGCACAGCCAGCTGACAGCCGGGAAGCCAATCAGCGAGGCCGGCTCCACCCGACTCCTCCAGGGTACCCAACGAAGCCCCATATCAATAACGGGGGAGGGAGAGGAAGGACCCGCCCCTACTCCAACCAAGGCTGGGCGATCGAAAGGAGGGGGGGTCGTCTTTCGAGAGCCAACCTTTCCTTCCCACTCAACCCCCATCCCTTTCCTTTCTCCACGTCGCCTCCCCACCTACTCGTGTGCTAAGCTTCATGGAGCCCGAGGGTGGGGACGATAAAAAAAGGGGGGGACCCACGAAGGATGGGGTCCACGGGACCCAGGCAAGTCTTGGGGAAGGACCAAGGAAAGGAGACAAATGGGTGAAGAACAAGTTGGCTAGGAAGAGGCTGGAGAGAGTGGAGTCTTGGCTCCGGGAGCTGTCCAGGTGCTGAAACCAAGGCGCCTGCCCATCTCTTCCAAATGAAACAGGCCGTTTCCCCCCCCTTTTCTTTCCATTTTCCCAGCTTCCCGCTTTCCTAAAGGGTTGGTTTTCCTAGAGTGCCGAGGAAAAGGAAGGCCCAAAGAACGTGAGATCCTTCCGCTTGCGGCCAGTTCTGAAGAAATGCCCAAGTCCCTAAAGAGTTCTTGGCGAAAGTTATCTTAAGGCCAGCCATGGCTGGCTTGAACCGCGCTTTGTGGGATGAGCTACAGTGACCAGGGTTGACCCTGGCGCTACGCCAGAGAGAGAGAGAGAAAGATTTAGAGGCCACCGTTGTAAAGACAAATCTGTAAGGCCCGACTTCATACCGCCGATCCGAAAACTAACAGGCTGGCCAAGGATTGAGGGAGACGGGTGAGTCTGGTTGACAAATAAGAATAAGAATAGAGTTGGAAGGGACCTTGGAGGTCGTCTAGTCCAACCCCCTGCTCAGACAGGAAACCCTATCCCATTTCGGACAAATGGCTGTCCAGTCTCTTCTTAAAAACTTCCAGTGTTGGAGCATTCACCGCTTCTGGAGGCAGGTTGTTCCACTGGTTAATTGTTCTCACTGTCAGGAAGTTTCTCCTTAGTTCTAGGTTGCTTCTCTCTTTGGTTAGTTTCCAATTGATGATCAATAAAATATCTGTCCTGGATTAGTAAATTATGCAACGAAGCAGGAGAGATGGTTTACCAAACCGAGGAGTGTCCTTCTCATTCTTGATAGGACTTTAGTTGTTGACATGTAGCACTTCTGTGCTGGGAATAATGGTCCATCTTGAAGATTTGTATCCTTCCATCCCACACATACAGATACAACAAAAACAAGTTTGGAGCAGACTTAAGGGAAGGGCCACACCCGAAAACTTTTTATGACCAAATATATTAAAGCGTCTCGCTCTGCCTTCGGTGACAGCCTGTGCCTCTTGTCAGTGCAGTCTCTCAAGTCTGCCCAGATATCCATCTCTGGATTTGGGCTCCTCCACTCCAGACAAGGCACAAGCAGTGCCACCAAAAGGAAATTAAAAAAAGACGAAAGAGTATCGCTTTTCTCTCCCCGGGCTGCAGAGATGGAACACGAGCCGTTATCAGAAAGATGAGCTAATATTCCTAGCAAGGCGAAGTCTCCGGAGCAAGGATGTTCGTCTCTATAATAGAGGCAGATTGGACAATTCGAACCGGCCCCGTTTCTCATAACTTACTTGCGTCAGCAAAATAAAGACTCCAGCAAGTTGCACGTCTGTCCAGATCGTTTGGAGATAGACATCTTTCAGCAGCTTAGACACACACACACACACACACACACACACACACACACAGCTGTGTTTTTCAAAGTAGTGCACACCCCAGTAAATAATAGGATTTCTCAGCCCTATCATGCCCCATTGGAGGCTGGTTTGGAGGGAGTTGGTTTTTGTTGTGGCAGGAGTAGATTTCTTCTTCTTCTTCTTCTTCTTCTTCTTCTTCTTCTTCTTCTTCTTCTTCTTCTTCTTCTTCTTCTTCTTCTTCTTCTCCTTCTCCTTCTCCTTCTCCTTCTCCTTCTCCTCCTCCTCCTCCTCCTCCTCCTCCTCCTCGTCCTCCTCCTCCTCCTCCCTCTTATTCTCCTTCTTCTCCAGGCTCCAATGGGCCATGACAACCCTATCACTGAAAAGACTCAAGTGCTGATTAATTTAAACTATCTACTTAACTTCTACACACTGTAGCACTGAGAATACCTGAACAGAGGAATGGTCCTAGTTACCTTCTTGGGGCCTGGCCATTAGTGATCCCTCTCCTGGCTTTGACTTGCTTCGCTCCATCTGGACGAAAAGGAACAGAATTAGCTGTGATAATGGAAGAGATGTCTCTGCCCTGCTCAAGCAGGAGAACCTATGCCATCTCAGACAGGTGATTGTCTAGCCTCTTCTTAAAAATCTCCACTGATGGAGCGCCCACGATTTCTGGAGGCAAGTTGTTCCACTGATTAATTGTCCTGTCAGGAAGTTTCTCCTTAATTCCAAGTTGCTTCTCTCGTTGATCAGTTTCCAACCATTGTTTCTGGTCCTGCCTTCTGTGCTTTAGAGAATGTGACCCCCCTCTTCTTTGTGGCAGCCCCTCAAATACTGGAACACTGCTATCATGTCTCCCCTATTTCTTCTTTTCTTTAAACTAGCCAAACTCAAGTCCCGCAGCCGTTCTTCGTATGTTTTAGTCTCCAGGCCTTGGATTATCTTAGTTGCTCTTCTCTGCATTTTTTTTCCAAACTCTCAACATCTTTTTTGTGATAAGGTGACCAAAATTGGCTGCAGTATTCCAGGTGTGGCCTTACTAGGGTTTTACAAAGCGGTACTAATACTTCACATGATCTTGATTATATGCCTGTTTATACAACCCAGGATTGTGTTAGCTTTTTTGGCTGCTGCTACACACGGCTGTCTCATAGTCAAGCGATCGTCCACTAGGACTCCACTAAAACATGAACGGACATATTTATGACGATGGAATTGCACACACCCCGACACCACGCACATGTCCTCCTTGACTTAATGACTGTTTGAAGAGCACCCCATATTCACATGTTCGTGATTGACGACTTTTTCCTCCCCTGGAAACCATCATTTATTTCTGATTTACAGCCAAAACACCCCATACCCAACAAGGGATTTGCTTTAAAAACGTGGTGCTCGTTTTACGACTGCCACCTACACTTCCGTGACCACTGTAAAAAGAAGAAAAAGAATGTTGCCAGATCAGGCTGAGTCACACGATGACCCGTTTTACGGCCACAGTGACTTAATTCTTGTCATAGGCCAAGGATTGCCTGTACAGCTTAGTCCTCAACTTACAAGAGTTCGTTTAGCGAGGAGTCCGTTACAACAGCACTGGAAAAAGTGACTTGAGACAGTTTTTTACACTTACGACAACTGTTAGCATCTCCATGGCCAGCTGATCAAAATTCAGACGCTCAGCAACTGATTCATATTTACGACGGTCGCAGCATCCCGGGATGACTTGATCTCCTTTTGCGACCTTCATATGGGGGAAGCCGGATTCACTTCACAACCGTGTGACTAGTCAAACAACTGCAGTGGTTCACTTAACGACGGGGGCAGGGAAGATCGTACAATGGGGGAAGCATTCATTTAATGTATGTCTCGCTTAGCAACGGAAATGTTGGCCTCCGTTGTGGCCGTTAAGCCGAGGACTTCTGGCTCCCAAAAGAATTCCACTCAAGACCGGCAAGCAAAGAAATCGAGGGTGGTGATTGTTTTTTTTAAAGCACTTTTTTTTATTATTATTGATCTCATCGAAAACAGAACAAGGAAATGACAGAGCTGAAAGGCAATGGCCTCTTAAAACTGTCCAAACGTTTAACAGAAAACGAACGAAAACAGAAGGTGGGTGGGAGAGAGACAGGGAAAGAAAGAAAGAAAGAAAGAAAGAAATAAAGAAAGAAAGAAAGAAAGAAAGAAAGAAAGAAAGAAAGAAAGAAAGAAGGGAGAAAGAAAGAAAGAAAGCAGGGAGAAAGAAAGAAAGAAAAAGAAAGAAACAAACAAACACCTGGCAAATATGAACGGTTTAAAAGAGTTGCACCAAGAGAAAGGGGGAGGGGAAAGACCCCAAACCTGCGCTAATTACAGTATTGAAAGATATATGAAAAAAAAAGGAAAAGAAAAAAAAAAGAAAAATAATAATTAAATGACCTGTTCGGTCATCACACAAAAGGCGATGACCCTTTTTATGCTCACTACCATACAACGTATTTGTTGTTGTTTTGTTTTGTTTTTTTAAAAAACGGGATCTGGGAGGGGAGGGGTTGTTTTGTTGTCGTCGTTTTGTTTCATTATCTGCCCCTGCGTTTTCATACTAAAATCACTTTGTTCTTTTTTGTTTTGTTTTTTAATTCTTTTCTTTTTTGTCCTTTTTTTTTTAATTATACAACTGAAATTTATATTCACGAAGTCGAGTAAAAATCGCGCGAGAATCAGCACCGTGAAGTTGCTCGGGTGGGTGGGTGGGTGGGTGAGGAGGAAGAGGAGGAGGCTGAAGGGGGGGAGAAGGAAAGGGACTTGTCTGTTCAACACCCCGACCCTCATCCCCCCCCTCGCTGTCAATCCACACCCTCAACCCCCCTCCCCAGTTGATTAAAAAATAAAACTCGATCCGGTCCAACTTCGGCCTTTAGAAAATGGGTAGGTTCCGGAGAGGGTAGGTGCAGCGCTGGCTTCCAGGAAACGGGCATCTCCGGATGATTGCAAATCCTCGCGCCTCGGCTTAAGAAACGCCCCCCCTCCCATAAATACCCAAAAGGGTCTCTAAGAATATCGATTTTTATTAAGGACGCCGCGCCCCTCTCTCCCCGCCCCAAAGTTTCCACTTCCGATTTGGAGTTAGTGTCATTGAAAAACGGGATTCCTATAGACGAGTGGAAAAAGGCAGGGGAGGGAAAATAAAATTATTTTAAATTTTAAGGGGAGATAATAATAATAATAATAACGACAACGCTGCGGGGGGGAGAAGAGTGCTAAGGAGGAGCTACCCGAGGACTGGGATATAACGGAGAAGTCCCAGATGATTGCTCTCTTGACCTGGGCGAATCGGGATGGGGCGTGAGCGGCGAACAAAGAATTGATTGGACTCGGTCTCTGGTTGGGCCCCTGTTCCAAAGCACAGGCAGCCAGCAAAGGAGTGGGTGGGAGGGAAGATTCAGTGGCAGGCAAAAAAAAAAAAAAAAAACCCTTCCCAGATGTGTGCCGAGGCCGGCGGAACTCTCCGAGACAAGGATGCCGAGTTGGAGGACTTTTTTGAGACTCTTGACCCAAGGATGCAGAGTTTGACGAGTCCGAGGCGTCCCCGCCGTTCAAGGATGGAGAGTTTGGACGGGAGAGACGGTCCATGTCAACGTTCCTCGTTCCGACGAGGGGATGGGGGGGCTTGGAGAACACTTATCACGTGAAAAAGGAGGGGATGGGGAAGAGAGGGGGAAGGGAGGTCTCTTCCTGCCACCCCGGAGCGTGCCACGGCGTGGCTGCCTTCCCCCTGCCACGTCGCCAGAGGGGAGCGAAGAAAGGAGGGAAGGAGGGCGCGACGCCACGACCATCATCCACGCACGCCCCCAAAAGGGGAACCGTTATGGCAGACCGGAGGGGGGGAGAGCTCGCTGGGAAAAGGGGCAGAACAAAACCAACGAAAAGCATCGTCTTCAAATGTCACGGCCTGGCTGGGGAGGGCCCCGGGCTCTTCAGGGGAGGCCTCCGAAGGCAGGGGGGGATGCCAAGGCGGCCGAACTGGTGTCCGGGAGTCTGTTCTCGGGGGCCTCCTGCGAGGAAGCGGCGGTACTAGCCGCCGCAGCAGCAGCCGCAGCAGCTGCAGCAGCAGCGCTGGCCTGCCGCTCGGCCAGGACGGCGCTGGAGTGCCTGCATTTGGGCGAGTTGCAGAGGCAGCTGAAGTATTTGGCTTTGATGTTCCAGAACCTCTCGCCGTAGTCAAACCTGCAGAAAGAGAAGCTCAGTTACTCCAGGGTTGCATTGTGGGGGTCGGGGTGTCTTACTCTCCTAGTAAGCCACCTGGGAGAGGACTAGATGACCTAAAAGGTCCCTTCCAACTCGGTGATTCTGATTCTGATTCTAACTCATTCTAACTCTAACTCTAATTTAATTCTAATTCTAATTTAATTCTAATTCTAATCCTATTTAATTTTAACTCTAACTCTAACTCTAATTCTAATGGGATGTCTCTCCGCCCCAGCCCTTTTGTCTTTCTGCCCCCTTGGGTCTCAGTCTCCACTTCTGCTTCCGGGCCAAGGCGTACCCGATTTCTTCTCCCGCCTCTATGTGTCTGCTGCTGAAAAAGGCAATTCTGGGAAACCGCAAGTCCTGGTGGGACATGAAGACCCGGACGGCAATGAGGTTGGGCTCGCAAAAGTGGTTGATGAAGCGGCTGATGTTGCCGTAGAAGCGGGCGTCAATGCAGTAGACGTCCCGGTCCTGGAGAAAGAGAAGGGAGGAGTTAGGGGAAAATGGGAGGAGCACGTTGGGGCGTGATTGATGTGCGACTTGATCTGGTTCCGGACTCCAAATGGCTCTCAATGCGCCAGGTGATAGAAGAATAGCAGAAGTCAGAACAACAAAAGCAAGAAGGAAGGAAGGAAGGAAGGAAGGAAGGAAGGAAGGAAGGAAGGAAGGAAGGAATTCCTCAAACAAAGCCCACAAAAATTTCAAGGAGGAGGAGGAGGAGGAGGAGGAGGAGGAGGAGGAGAAGAAGAAGAAGAAGAAGAAGAAGAAGAAGAAGAAGAAGAAGAAGAAGAAGAAGAAGAAGAAGAAGAAGAAGAAACAACAATAAAATGGAAGTATTAAATCAAGCCACCTTCATATAATAACCAGGAATCCCACTTTCAGTTAGATATGACCAAAAGAACTCATAATTTAAAACATAGGTCCCCAACCCCCGGGCCATGGACCAGTATCGGGCTGTGGCATGCCAGCAACCGGTCCACACAAACAAGCAAAGCCCCATTTGCGGGATGCAGGCAGCACAGAAAACCACGCACCCTGTGATCCTCGGAAAAACCTCTCTCCACGGAACCGGTCCCTGGTGCCCAAAAGGTTGGGGACCTCTGCTTTAAAGCAATCATGGGACTTAATATAAGGCTCAGCTAAAGAAATGGCTGATGGGGGCTGGTACTCCCACCCAGTCAAACCTCCCACTTGTGATTGCTGCAGTTATTCACTTACACCCCTCCACTTCGTAGCAATTTGTCTGAATGAGTTTGCGACACAATCAAAGCAAAGAGGATCAAACGGCAGTTTAGTGTTTATGCTGAAACAGCAGCAGCTTCGGATTTAGAACTGTCTCAGAGTCTCTCTCTCTCTCTCTCTTCCCTCCCTTTCCCTCTCTCTCTCTCTCTCTCTCCTTCTCTGCCTCTCCCTCCATCCCCTGCTTTGATGCAGGTAAACAGTCTGAAAATATGAACTTGTGTTTTTATCTTCCCAGTAGGACTGGATTCTCCTTCCTGCTCTGTCTTCATTTCCTTACGTTGGCCAGCCTAAAATCCCCCAGGCCCCCATTTATTTTTATTTTATGCCTTGAGTTTCCTCCGAGCAGCGTAAAACACACTCCCTCTCCTCCAATTTTTCTCCATTCCCAATAATCCTCCGGGTAAGAGTGAGAATAATTGATCCCAAGCCCACCAGAAGGTTCCCATTACTTTCCTATTCCTGGAGAGATAATCTAAGGAGCCAAAGAAGCAATCCTGTTCTGCGACGTATATGCCGCTTACATGTTTTTTTAGGCTGAAGCGGTCTACAAATTTTATAAAATAATAAACAGTAATTGCCAAAGATAGCTTTGCTTATACAACTTATGTCCTGTGACAATACCTTTAACACCATCAAGCAGCAACATCTGTCTATCCAGGTCCTTGGGAAGGATTCAACGGGTGGATTAAAATGCCAAACCCAGACTAAACATCTGGCTAATAGAATATTAGGGGTTGAACTGTAGAGTCCTTGGTGCTCTCTGGAACTGGGCTGTTTTCTTGCAGACGTTTCATGACCCAACTAGGGAACATCATCAGCGCTAGAAGGGAGAGAGCAAACCTTATTCCCATCTAGGACTGATGACGTTACCTAGTTGGGTCGTGAAACGTCTGCAAGAAAACAGCCCAGTTCAGAGAGCACCAAGGACCCCACAATCCTTTTCCTCCTCCTTCTCTTCCTCCACTCCACACACTCCACTTCCTCCTGGCCCTGGAGATGGTTCCCTAGTTGGGTAATGAAACGTCTGCCAGAGAACAACCCAGCTCAGAGAGTGGCAAGGATCCCACCTCTCTCCGGATGTACAACCACAATAAACGAGCGTAAATATGGGACTAAAAAATGTCATTTGGTTTTTTTAGAGTATTATGGTTGTACAAAGGCTAGAATATTTTATTTAGTGTTATTTTTAATTATTAAAGTGTTGTTATTATTATTGTTTTTAATAATTGTATATCTGTTTAAAAGAGAGTTAAAGGAGGTTATAGATATGTTATTTTAATAGTTGACTGTTAATTAGAGTATGATTATGTTATTGTTAACCCTGTGATGGGCACTGGGAAGTGAGGGGGGAGGGAGGGGGGGTGGAAGGGTGGGAAGAGGAAGGGGGGGATTTATATTGTAAAATTTGATAAAAATTTTCAGTTAAAAAAAAAAACCAAGGGAAAAGAAAAACAAATAATAAACCAGCTGTTCATTTCAGGAACTCAGCTGAGTGCCACCCACAGACCAGCCCACCTCAGCTTGAGCCATACCACCAGTCACCCCAATCCACCATTATCGTTCTAGCTGGGGATTGTGGGGACTGAGGTCCGACACATCTGGAAAGTGTCGGTTTGAAGGACATACGGCTAGATGGGGAGAACTGCTAACACAGTGGTTCTCAACCTGTGGGTCGGGACCCCATTTGGGGTTGATCGACCATTTCATGGGGGTCGCCAAGCAAGGCTGTCCGCCATTTTTTTTGTCCGCCATTTTTCCCCCCCTTTTCCGGCAGGTGCCTTACCTCCCTTGGGCTGGGCCAGCTGGTGGTCGGCCTGCTCCGTCTCTGCCGCTTGCCAGCTACACCTCGGCCGGCGCAGGGGGCGGAACCACGCATGCGCGGCGCTCCAGTCAGGGAAAGTCCTCGACTTACGACCGGTTGGCTAGTCCTCGACTTACGACCAGTTTAGTCCTCGACTTACGGCTGGTTTAGTCCTCGACTTACGGCCAGTTGGGGTCACGGCATTAAAAAGGTTGAGAACCACTGTGCTAACACAATGAATGAGCCTTATCATTCCTAAGTTGGCCCAGGGGTCGTGTACACCTAGTCAATGCTTCTTCATGTTCTTAGGGGACCTAAAGCCCTCAGTAGCCAGAAGGATCCTAGCAGGAGTCTGTGCAGCTGGGAAGCTAATGTTTATGTTCCTTAAACTCCAAAGCTTCGGGCTTCTCCTCCACCCACTCAGGCTATTGAACCTGACAATCCAATTATAGGAAGCCCAGGCCTGCCGGATGTTTGACTTGCCAACAAATGAAATTACCAACTTAAAAAGGGGGCAGGAAGGATGGAGAGGGAAGGCACGGAGAAGGGAGAAGCAACGTGCGCTTCCCCGACGGAAGCCAAGGGAACTTCTTGGCCTCTTCAAGTGCACCTCTGGAAGACGTTGTTCGTTCGGGCAGCGCACAATTTGTGCAAAAAGCAGGGGCCTTGTTTGTCGGTACATCAATTGGATAAGGCTACCCAACTCGAGGCAGCGATACTATTTCAGCTTCCGTGCTCCAACTGCGAGGCAAGGTGAACCAAAGTGTATTGTACCGTTCTTGGCGTTATCACTGGAGCACGCAATATAACCATGTGCGGTGTGCTCCTCTCGGCTGGGGGTGTGTGTGTTTCTTGCAGATGTTTCGCGATCCAACTAGGGAACATCATCAGTGCTAGAAGGGAGCATGGTGTCTGGAGAGGAGGAGGAGGAGGAGGAGGAGGAGGAGGAGGAGGAGGAGGAGGAGGAGAAGAAAGGGAGGGGAGGGGAAACTGTAGGGTCCTTGGTGCTCTCTGAGCTTGCTTGCTTTCTTGCAGATTTTTCATGACCTATCTGGTTAATAGTATCAGTGCTAGAAGGGAGGAGGAGGAGGAGGAGGAGATTTGGTGCTCTCTGAGCTTGGTTGTTTTGTTGCAGGTGTTTCATTACTCAACTAGGTAGCAACATTAGTGCAAACACTGCTCCCTTCTAGCACTGATGATGTTCCCTAGTTGGGTCATGAAACGTCTGCAAAAAAAAACAACCAAGTTCAGAGAGCACCAAGGACCCTATATTCCTCCTCCTCCTCCTCCTCTTCTGCTCCTCCTCTCTATATCCCCTGCTCCCTTCTAGCACTGATGATGTTCCCTAGTTGGGTCATAAACGTCGGCAAGAAAACTACCCAGCTCAGAGAGCACCAAGGACCCCCACAGCTCCTCCTCCTCTTCCCTAATCCCATTCACAAATCCCATTCCTTTCTAGCACTGATGATGTTCCCTAATTGGGTCATGAAACGTCGGCAAGAAAACTACCCAGCTCAGAGAGCACCAAGGACCCCCACAGTCCTCCTCCTCCTCCTCCTCTTCACAAATCCCATTCCTTTCTAGCACTGATGATGTTCCCTAATTGGGTCATGAAACGTCGGCAAGAAAACTACCCAGCTCAGAGAGCACCAAGGCCCCCATAACTCATTGTGTTTTTTAAAAGCCCAGTGGAAACCAGTATAGATCTATCGAACACAGTCCTGCTTATCTTCCAGGACCAAGAGGGCAGCCTAGGCTAAGATTGGTTTGTGTTTGGTGGAGTCATCTGACTATCCAATCCTGCTCCAGGAAAAGTCCTTTCGTTTAATCAAGATTTGTCTTTCTGCTTCTCCTCATTCAGCAGCCTGGAAAGGCTGATCTCCTTCTGTCCCCTTCTCTCCAAACCCATTACCCAATGCTCAGAGCTCCTTTGACCCCCGTTCCACGGGAGCCCCGCTGTCCAAAAGGCGAAAAGAGCTTCACACAGCAGCTCAAACGATCGTGTCTCTGCCCAGTGTAACGGAAGACGGAAGGAAGGTGTGGAGAATTCATCTTAGCACGTCTGCTCGCCCTTGAAGTCCTTAGTAAGTTAAAAAAAAAAAAACCACACACACACAGAGACACACACACTACCCTTACCTTGTTGCCAAGGTCGAAAAGATAGCAATCTTCCTCACGTACGTTGGCCTCCGAGTCAGAAATCAGCTCTCCGACGTATCTGCAGGGACACAACACCCCCCCCCCCCAAAAAAAAGTCTGTATAACGTGTAAAAATCCAATACGTGATTATTATTTTTTTAAGAGGAAAGCAGTGTGACAAAAAAGGATCTCCCAATTTCGGCCACGTATGGATTCCAACTCCCCAAATTTTTCAGAAAGGGCTGGGGGATCCGGGGAGCTAATGCCTGCACAGCTGGAAGTTGCTGAGGTGAGATTGTCCACCTTGGCAACTGGGTGGCCAAAGACCCGATGGGATTTTTATTTATTTGTCAAGACTTATTAGCCACTATCTTGACACAGGATAACTGTCATGGGACAGGGAAGAGGTTTCTCTCCCTTTTTTTTCCTCTTGAAGCTGGGTCATCCCTCTGGGTTGGTCATCTTCGGTCCCCCGGGCTTCAAAACCAAGGCACTTACTCGCACACAAAGGTCCCCAGTGGAATGTCTTGCATTGTCCTTACACCCCAGCCCATCTTCCTCGTCCGGAAAAGTTGCAACCTTGTCCTGAACAAAGAGAGAAGCAACTTGGAATTAAGGAGAAACTTCCTAACAGGGAGGACAATTAACTAGTGGGACAGAAGTAGCCTCCAGAAATCGTGGGCGCTCCATCACTGAAAGTTTTTAAGAAGAGACTGGACAGTCATTTTGTATGAAATGGTATAGGCTCTCCTGGTTAAGTGGGGGCTGGACTAGAGGACCTCCAAGGTCCCTTCCAGCTCTATTCTATTCTATTCTATTCTATTCTATTCTATTCTATTTCCATATTCTATTCTTATTCCATTCCATATTCCATTCTATTCTATTCTATTCTATTCTATTCTATTCTATTCTATTCTATTCTATTCTATTCTATTCTACTCTACTCTATTCTATTCCTTATTCTACTCTATTCCCTATTCTATTCCCTATTCTATTTCTATTCTGTTCTATTCTATTCCTTATTCTATTCCCTATTCTATTATTCTATTTCTATTTCTATTATTTCTATTTCTATTATTTCTATTTCTATTCTATTCTATTCCTTATTCTATTCCTTATTCTATTCCCTATTCTATTCTATTCTATTCTATTCTATTCTATTCTATTCTATTCTATTCTATTCTATTCTATTCTATTCTACTCTACGCCTTATTCTACTCTATTCCCTATTCTATTCCCTATTCTATTTCTATTTCTATTCTATTCCTTATTCTATTCCCTATTCTATTATTCTATTTCTATTTCTATTATTTCTATTTCTATTATTTCTATTTCTATTATTTCTATTCTATTCTATTCCTTATTCTATTCCCTATTCTATTCTATTCTATTCTATTCTATTCTATTCTATTCTATTCTATTCTATTCTATTCTATTCCTTATTCTATTCTATCTATTTCTTATTCTATTCCATTCCATTCCATTCCATTCTATTCTAAACTAGATGTAATTCTTAATTCTGACTTCCCCAGCTGCAAACGGACAGTCAAAGGGACATCTGCGCATCTCACCGGAGTCCATTTTGCACCACCCGATTCCGGCAGGTTCTCCAACAGGAACAGGCGTGGTTACACTCGAAAATTAGCGGAGGTTCCGACGTGTTGAATTCTGGAAGCAGCCGTCCATCCTGCACCGGGGGGGGGGGGGAGAAGAGAGGTTCAAACTGGACATCTGGTCAGCCCAGCCATCTCAAGGCCACAATAGGGTGGAGCTGCCACTTCACGGATCCCCTTGAGTAGAGGTCAGGTGGACAACTTGGCTTTGCCTCTGGACATCGTCCACCCCCCAACTACAGGCAGTCCTTGACTTACAACAGTTCATTTAGTGACCGAAGTCACCAACGGCGCTGAAAAACAAAGTGACTTAAAAATGAGGGATCATTTTACGACTGCCACGTACGCTTCCGTGACCACTGGGGAAAAAATAAGATAAAAAATAAGATCAGGCTCGGTCACAGCGACCTGTTTTACGACCACGATGACTTAATTCTGACATCGAGGACTGCCCGTACAGGTTAGTCCTCGGCTTACAAGAGTTCGCTTAGTGACCGTTCAAACTCACAAGGGCACGGG